GAAAAGGACGTCTTTCGACATTAGATCAGACAGACGATGAAATATTTCATTATGACTCAACCGCTTATTATTCTGAGTTCAAAATTCTTGGTCACGCCAGTATTTCATCATTCTTCCGATGGGAACCTCTGCCTCGTCACTTCTGGCTGAGCTTCGGTTATATGGTCTCTTGTCGAAGCAGCGTGAAGAATTCAGCTTGATGCTTGTTGACTAAAAAACTAGGTACTTCATCGTTCCTTCTCACTGTGTTAATACTTCCACTATCACTGAATAATCACATCTCAATTCGTGGAAATGTGTTCTCAAACTTCGTTTTCTGTGCAAAGTGCAAAATATCGTCTTATGCTATTGTTTTTGGTAGCAAAGTACTGTTACTCCAGTGGGAAGTATCATTGCCTTTCCGAAGACGGCGTCAACTTAATCTGACTACTGCATGTTCGACGACTGTTGCAAGTTCATAAGAAACTGTAGTGGCCATAATAATAGTTGAGGAAAGAACATATCGTTGAAATTTGCTCTAGGATGCGACCTTCATTGGGATGGTTGTCTACTGTCAGAAACAGAAGCAGATGGTTATGCTGCATAATGTGTCAGTGAGTTTCGCTCTGATCAAATAATTGACGAATCTGGAAAGTCTGTACCAGTATAAATTCATATTTCAGTAAATTACTACCTCAGTTACAAACTTTGGTGCAAGAACAGTTTTAATGCCCATACCGTTTGCAACCACGTTCTCGCTAATGAAATAGGAAAACATATAGACGGACAGACATATTTTTTATGTTCCGTCCAGAATTCTAAAATATCCAAATGAGTGAAAGTGACGAGTTTCAAGTTTCGACAATGGTTATGTGATTTTGAATGACTGACATTGCACTTTTAAGCGTTGGTGCAATTTTGGGCCCTTTATTGAACCAGATAAATTATTATGAGTTTTCCTTTTCGTCTGTTTCTTTCATGCACTCTCACACTTGCCTTCCTATCAAATTGCCTTCTTAGTCATCACCCAGTTATTTACACAATTATTTTTAAAACCTGATTGAAAGTTTAGTGAGAGAAAGAACCTGCGAACCGGATAAACTTTGATAGGAACGCATTTACACCCCGGCAACATGTATCATATAATGACGCCATTAGATCATCACGTTTAATCCTTCTGCTTGTGCTAGTGTGGCATAAGCTAGCGGTTCTTTCTTAAGGTGGAAACCGCTTCGATCTGTTCTCTGATGCCATTCTCTTGACATTCTGTATTTAGATGGCAGTCGATCCATACCGTTTCTAAGGAATCTAAGGAATATATATATATA